TTTTCAAAAACTAGAACTAACTAAAACTGTATTGTGTAAATACAAAACTAACTGAAACTAACTAAAATGATACTGTAGCAAAAACCTCCTTTGTTTTCGTGTTGGTGAAGGTATTTAATACATAATCTTACTGTAAGCCTTTTAGAAGTAAATATAATCCGCGCGCAGGTGTTTGTGTTTGACCCTTTGACACCTCAGAGTCTCCTGATGCCATTGGCCAGATCGAGCTGGCTCTCCTCCAGTCATCCTCACTGTTGCTCCCGCGACAAAAACAACAAGTGGACATGACAGCAGCACGGTGAAAGTATTAAATACAGAGACTTAAAACTATTACTTTAACAAGTTTGTGCCCAATAATGGGTTTTATTTTTGTATCGCCATCGCAAACGAATCTTTTTAACCGGATCTTCTTCACATCATCAAAGATGCGGGTGCGAGATGCAGACGTGGAGAGGTAATGTCCTCCAGGGTACCTACAGAGAGACAATCACATACAGTTGAATGCAAAATTAATATTTTTTAATTAGAATTGTTACATTTTATTATTATATTATAATTTTATCGTTTTATTATTGTATATATTATTAAATACATATTATTATTATTATAAATTTTAAATCTTTTTCAAATATTTCTCAAGTGATGTTTAACAGAGCAAGTGAATTTTCACTGTATTTTCTATCATGTTTTTAATCTTGAGAGTTTTATTTCTTTGTTTCATTCATTTACTCAAGGCTTAGTCCCTTTATTGATCAGGGGTCGCCACAGGGGAATGAACCGCCAACTCATCCAGCATATGTTTTACACAGCGGATGACCTTCCAGCTGCAACCCAGTACTGGGAAACACCCATTCACACTCATTCACACACACACACACACACACACACACACACACACACAGTACACTACAGTCAATTGAGCTAATTCAATTCACTTATAGCGCATGAGTTTGGACTGTGGGGAAAACCGGAGCACCCGGAGGAAACCCACGCCAACACGGGGAGAACATGCAAACTCCACACTGAAATGCCAACTGACCCAGCCGGGACTCGAATCAGCGACCTTCTTGTAGTGAGGCAACAGTGCTAACCACAAAGCCACCGTGTCGCCCCCTTCCTTTAGTTAGACTGAAATTAAATCATTTTTAAGGTCAATATTATTAGCCTTCTTAAAATATGAGATTTGTTCGATTGACTAAAGCAGGGGGTTCTAAAACTTTTTAGCCTGCGACCAAAATCAATGTGCTGCATCTGACACTACTGCTGTGTCTTTAATGTAATGTAATTACCCCAAGGGTTAGGGTTAAAAAATAAAAATCAAATAAAAAAATCAAAAGGTTGATGACTTTTTATTTTTAATAAATAATAAAACAGGGGTAGGGCATCTTGTCAGTTTCAAATGTCATTCGAAGTGAACTACCGCCTACAGTAAGGATCCTTTGATGATATTCCTTTGATACTTCACACGTCAAGGCTGTTCTTCAGCGCACGCTTTTTTTTTTTTTTCAAACAGACACCCGTATAATTTAACAAGTAAAGGTCACTTGAAGCTATGCTATGAACTATCATAAATCTGTTTATTGTTTAATAGAGTGGTAGTTCATTCTGACTGACATTTGAAGCTGACAAGATGCACTACGCCTGATTTTTTAAGGTTCAAGACACCCTCGAGTACGTTTTTAAAAATGTTAACAGATTTGAGTGTGTTGAGCATGTTCAGACAACGTTAGCACCTGTCAGCATTAATTGTGGGGAAAATCTTTTTTTGTGGGGAGCTTTTGTCAGCTAATTTAATCTTCAGGGTTTAAAATCATTTTTAGGGCGGGATCAAAATCAGTGACGTATCGCGGATCTGCTAGTGAAGTGATGACGCGTAGCTTTCTTATTCATAGCCGAGTTTTCTTATCCTATGAGAAGACCCTGCATCTTAATTATTCACGAGAGCACGTGCTTTCTGAAGGCAAGGCAGACCTGCCAAGCTATGAGACCCGATGACTGGGTGAGACCGCGGACAACATGGGTCGTATATGTATTATTCCCTGCGATGCTGTCAGGGGTGATTCAGCAAGTATACGCCAGTGTTTTTCTGCAAGTATTTATTTGCAGCAAGCATTTTTGTCGGTGTATGAAGATTGGAGAATGGTGGACTTTGTCTATTATCAGTTGAGATTGTTACCATTCAGGCACATCGCCTTCATCTGTGCTGCTGTGTTCGCCATATGTTTAAAATTCTCCAGATTACCTGCAAGGTTAATGATTAGAATAGATAGGGAAAGAGACTTGCTGCACTGGTATCCACTGTGGAGAGATGTCGTCTTTATTTATAGTGTTTATATAAACATGATTATCTTTTTAATGATTTAAATTGTGGTTATTTATGTATATATAAATTAACGAATACCATTTGTAGCAGGGCATTCAATTACTGTTTTAATTCTTCGCATTTTAACTGTTTAAACTATAAAATCATGAGTCTCCTCACAGTTTGTGTCTCATTTTGTGAACCGACTGACAACAGATGTTCGCTCCACTCTTTTTCCCCTGCTCTGCTGGCCACGCCCACTCCTCCCTCTGCTCACAGAGCTCCACGCCCATCTCGGAGAATTTTTTGAAAATATTTGAGGTAGACTTAAAACAAAAGAGGCGGGTGTAGGGACCTTTTAATAGATTAAACTTGATAGATTGAGCTACCGGTAGCACATTCTGAGGACACTGGCATATTCAGAAAGCACAGTACACTCATTGGTATGCAGGGAGTGTGATCATTATGCTTTTTCCTTTTTAGCAGTTCAAATTGCATTATGCAAATCTATTCAAGGCACTACTGACAAACAAGAACATTTGCGTGTGTTTTGTAATTGCACAAGTATTAATATGCTATAATACATACATCATAGTTTATTAATTAACAAGTGATCTGAGTGCTGTGAAAAAATGATGCCAACCATAGAAGAAGTCTAAAGGTGTCCAAAATCCTGGACCAGGCCGTATCTTGAGCAGATGCTATGGTGGTCATGGAGGAGTGGAGAGCATTAGACTGATTCCTAAAAGACCCCAGTGATAGACAAGTCTCTGCATTGATCCCGTGGGCCAGCCTGAACACCTGCTGGTGACCTACTCACACCTGCAGCTTAATATTAAATATTAAGCTACAGAGTTTTGCCAAGACTCTTATGAAATGCGTCTCAACCTAATAATCACTTGAAAATTACAGGCAAGTGAAGTAACGTGATGGCTGCTCAACACATTACATTAATGCACATTTTGGATTATAATATAATTTTGTCCTATTCGTTATGAGTATTGAGTAGATGCAAATACACAGAGTCAGACTTACATGTATGCTGTCAAACTGATGTTTTCTTTATTGGCTGGTTTTCTGGCTACCGAAATATAGGCTACACACAAAAACAAACAACAGCTATTCAGTATTTGATCCACAGGATGTTTTTGATGATTATATTTATTCTGTATAACACATTCACAACATTTACCAGACCAATCTTAGAACCAATCTTAGAATCTTAGAACAATATATCAGAATAATAATACAATTTTACAAGGTAAACACAAATAAATGAAATAATGTACAGTAGTACTGCATTTTCAATTTGTATTTGCTATAATGCAAATCTTAATTTATCATGAAAGCAGAAAGAACAGTTGACTTGTAATAACACTCATTGAATGCAAACTTTTTAAAATGCATTTTATTGATATATCATAACAGCAGTAAAGTCCTATCATTCATCAGTTTTTATCTGTGCTTTATGATTGCAGTAAAACATGTTAAATGAATTGATGTAAAATTACTATAACAAATCAAACATAATAAGAGTGTAAAAAGAAGAAAAATATATATATATAAAAAAAAAAGAATTACATCATAAAGACTATACAAAAAATATGAGCTATCACTCTAGTCTCTGTCAAATAAATTGTCTTCTCTCTTGGCATGGGTCAGGAAAAAGAAAATAAAGACATTTCCCAGCATGTCTAGCCATTCATACATAAAAACATTTTGAAAAGAGAAAGTCAAAAAGGCATGTTTCAATCTCGGAATAAAATGACAATATCACACTTCCTCTGAGAGAATAGCGGTATCAATGTCAAAGATTCTTTCAAGACTCTTTAGGAACTTCGATTTTACAGTCAATTTCTGTTGCTTTAAATTGCATGTCCATTTCATCCTTATCATAATTGTAACCAGTGAGTTTATGGTCTGATATTCACTCGATCTCCTTGACTCTTTTAAGCAGTTTATCTTGCTGATTTATTTCCAGAAACTATTTACATTCGACACAATTTGCAGAAGCCCTTCAGATTTTAGAATGATTGCAGTTGTACTGTTACTGTGTGTTTTTTATTTTACTGTTGCTCTTCAGAATAGCATATGTGATAATGTATTTATTGTAGTTGCTTATTATTGTACTTTAAAAGTATATCCTGAATGTGTATTTTATGTGGGTTTGCCTAAGTTTTTAAAAATTAAAAAGTACATGAAAAAATGTATACAGTGGAGGAAACTACTGAAATTTATGTAATACTTTATATATAAGGCTTTTAGGTGATGGCAGTACAAAGATGTCTCTCCTAGGGGGAATGAACTCACATGCATTCATGACTTCAACAGAGTGAAAATCTTGATGGTTCTGTGGGTCCCGTCTATCAAATCTAAGCTTTACTTTGTATTTTCTATTGGATTCAGATCAGGTGATTGGCTGGGCCATTCCACAACTTGATTTTCTTTCTCTGAAAGCATTTGAGAGTTTCCTTGGCTGTGTTTTGGATCATTGTCTTGCTGAATGTCCACCCTGGTTTCATCTTCATCCTTCTGCTAATGTAGATGTTGGACTGAAGCAGCTGATATTCATTTACACTGATGAAGGGCAGAGGGTTGCTGAAGAACTACTGAGAGATTTCAGCTGCTGTCTGGGCTTTCACTATCTTTCTACACCTCCCTTTCTTCATGCGTTCAATACTTTTTCCCTGCATCATTTCATTTTATTACACAGAACTTTGTTTGTTATCCAATTAGTTACATTTTCTTTGCACATATGGATTTCTTTGGTTGTTACCAACATCTGGTGAAAATTTCAAGTCAACAGCACATTTAGAAATATGTTTTCTGTGAAAAATGCTGACGTGTTCAATACTTATTTTCCACACTAGATATTTGAAAATTGAATTGAAATTTAAAAAAAAAAAAAAAAATTCTGATTGACTTTGGGTCTTCAATCAGTAGACACGGCTCTAGAATCCCATCAGTCTACATCCATTTCCTCTTCTTTCTCATACTGCTCTTGTTGCTGAATTGCTCCAGTTGTATCTTCAGTCTTCTCAAGTTTAAACTGTGCTTTAATTGAATCAAACTCAGAAAGTAAATTTAAGATGTCATGTCTCCTTGACCTGACATGTTCGACAATGCCTTTCACGATAGACTGCATGGAATAGGCATATTCTATAACACTCCTATCTGTGTTATTTTGATCTTTATAATGAAAGCCACCAGTATGCATTCCAATCAGATAGCAGTGTTCATCAAACACCGGGGAGCCAGAAGATCCATGAAACATACAAGTGTCATAGGTTATCCTATTCTGATGCAGATACGGCAGGACTTGCAGTGATACATATGGGCAGGACATATTGTCAGATATGTGTTTGTTTATACTCTGGAGTTGTTTCTCAGGCTCAATAATGAAGCAGGGGTCCATCTTCTTGACTCCACAACCTGGGTGTCCCACAATGTAGATCCCACCACAGTTTGGAGGAGGGGAATGTATATAACGTTTGAACAATTGGGGACAGTTATCAGGTGTAGCTTCCAATTCAAGAAGTGCGAAATCATAGAATCTGCGTCTCTCATCAAGCTCAAAACCACAAGCAATTATGTCATCTTTAACTGACAGAACTTTTGTCGCAGATCCTACAACCTCAAAATTAAATACAGCTTTCAGAGGCCGTGAAAGTTTAAGAGTGTCACAATTAACAAAGTCCTTAATGACATGAGCATTAGTAAGGATGAATCTGTCAAAGGCTAGGAAGCCTGTTCCAGTGGCACAATTATCAACTAGAATCATACACACAGAGTCAGAGAGTGTCATGATCTGCTTCACTTTGTTCACCTCAGTGAAACACTGAATGCCTTTATCGTAATCTTCTTGGAAGAACTTCTGAACCTGGGGGTTCTTTCGCTGTTTTAGCTTCTTCATTATATTTTCAAATGAAGTCTGCAGAAACTCTTTAATCTCAGTGTAGAACAATCCTCCAAAATCCCCAGAAGGGTTCTGAGTTACTTGGCCTGTAGATGGAGGACCTGGTGATTTTGTATCCCTCTCTTGGATTGTTCCTTGTTCACTGCTGGTTGTAGGTTGTCTCAGATCATATTTCTCATAATCAACATCTGATGCATTTTCAGTCTTGATTGTGTTTAGTTTCATTTGGCAGTCAGGCCGTTTGTCATTAATAGCAATGATCTCAAATCTCTTGTTTCTAAGACGCTTAACAGAGTTGGACATTTCATATCTTGATTGTTTACCAGTACATTCAGACACTAGTGACAGGACACAGAGTTTCTGGAATATTTTTTCATTGAATCGTCCATCACGCTTTAGAGCAGTTTCAGTTTGTTCTTCTTCTAATCCACAAACACATACATAATCAACTTTGTTTCTTAGTTCATTGCTTTTTATTATGTACATCAATTTCTCCTTTCCTGTTGTTTTAATGTAGAACTTGACTAGGTCCGTTCTAGGTAAAGAAGGTATTGCTTGTGTCTCTTTCTTTTTCTTTTCCGTTTTGATGAAGAATATGGTTAAGGTCTCATCCTTTTTAATAAGACAGCATGGGAAATCTGTTTTCACAGCAGCTCCATTAGCTCGCTTGATTACCATCTCTTTCTTGGTGTCTCTAATACTCTTGTTATTCTGAAATATTTCTTTTTGTTCAAGAGCAGCCAGCACAGTCATGGATGTGTTACATTCCACAACAACTGGATCAGGATCAGAGTCGAAACAAAATTTGAAAGTGTGTTCTTGTTCTTCTGCTCTCTGTAAAATTTAGATAAAGAATCCATTATGTACAAACATTTAAGTAAGTACGACTAAAGAAACATTTGTCATTGAAATTATACAGTTTTATATTACTTTGTGTTAAAGCAGGGATCACCAAACTTGTTCCTGGAGGTCCGGTGTCCTGAAGATTTTAGCTCCTTCCTAATCAAACACACCTGAACAAGCTAATTAAGGTCTTACTAGGTATACTTGAAACATCCAGGCAGGTGTGTTGAAGCATATTGGAGCTAAACTCTGCATGGACACCGGCCCTCCAGGACCAAGATTGGTGACCCCTGTGTTAAAAGAAAACTGTAGAAACTCAACGTACTATTTGAATGTTTAAAAGGCTGCACATAATGTAATAATTTACATTATTGTTGTTATAGAATGTTCATTATGGAATATTTTTCTCTAAGCAATAAAATATTGAGCTCATAATGTATTAACAATTATTACATTATTAAAAACGTATTACTTCATAAACCGACTAAAAATATTGTCACATTGTCATTTAATAAGCTTTTTAAACATAAAAACATTTAAATGTTTGTTTTAAATTCTTATAAAAAGGACCAGATTTAAGTATGCATACAATAATAATAACAACAATAAATAGAAATGTACATTTTCTAAAGAACTCAGCACAACATCAATATCTCTACTTAGGAATATCATTTGTAAATATACATCCTTTCCTGTCATTCAGACCTGCAACACATTCCACAAAGAGTTAGGACAGGAGCAGTTTACGGCTTGTAATTAGGTAAATTGGTTAAATGATGGTGTGATTTGAAACAGGTAATGTCAACAGGTGATTGTAATTATGATTTGGTACAAAAGCACCATCCAAGAAAGGTCTAGTCGTTTAGGAGCAAAGATGGGCCGAGGATTACCAGTTTGCCAACAAATATGTGGGAAAATTACTGAAATGTTTAAAAACAATGTTCCTCAAAGAAGGATATCAAGACATTTAGATATTTGACCTTCAACAGTGCATAACATCATTAAAAGATTCAAGCAATCTGGAGGAATTTCAGTACGTAAATGACAAGAGTGCAAACCTAAGCTAAACTACCGTGCTCAACGATCCCTCAGGGGGCACTGCATCAAGAATCGTTATTCATCTATAAGCGATAACACCACATGGGCTCAGGACTACTTTGGCAAATGTTTGTCAATTCGACAACATAGTTACATCCACAAATGCCAGTTAAAACTACTGTGCTAAAATGAAGCCCTGTGTTAACATTTCAAGATGCACCGTTGACTTCTCTGGGTTCAGAGGCATCAGGGATGGATCATCACACAGAGGAAACGTGTAATGTAGTCAGAGGAATCAGTATTTCAGGTATTTTTTGGGAGAAATGGACGCTGTATGCTCTGGTTACCAGGAAGTCCAAAAGCTAGGGTTTGTCAAAGGTAACTTACACTTCTGTGATGGCACCATTAATGCTGAAAAGTACATAGAGATTTTGAAGCACAATATGCTGCCTTCTTTTTTCATGCATATTTCAACAAGACATTGCAAAATCAAACTCTGCACACATTACAAAGTCCTGGCTGTGGAGAAAAAGGATACAGGTATTTGACTGGCCTGTCTGCAGCCCCGACCTGTCTCCAATAGAGAATGTGTGGCACATTTTGATGCGCAAAAAATGAATTTTTTTAAATGAAAAATTTTTAAAAATGTGTTGCAAGAACCATTATTGAAAAACGTGTTTATTTTGGGAAAAAAATAATAATAATAAATAAATAAAAATTACGAGGAACACATGAAAAAGTGTGTGTTGCATTGTCTGCAATGAAATACAAGTAAAAGTAGATTTAGAAATCACTTCTTTCTTTTTTATTTTGCATTTTCCATACTGTCACAACTTTTTATGATTTGGGCTTTGATTTGGGACAACTTTTAATGATTTCAAATGGTCATCTGAAGAAACAGAGCGCCATATACCACTTGAATAACACAAAGGTGCACAAATGATTAGAGAATTGAAATTTTTGGATGAAGTGTCAATCAAAGTTATTTACCTGTTGTGGGTGTTTGGAGTATTTCTCTTCTGGCTTTGATGATTGAGCCATCATTTCCTGCCAAATGTCAACAATTTAACTGAAATTAACACGGCCTTGCATTATTTATTGAAATTGTGTTTCCATAATATAAATAATGAAAATGACACACAAGTGGAATATTACAGCCTATTCACACCAAACATAATATAATAAAAAGCAAAAACAATTATAGCCGAATGGTCTCTGAGTCTCTGAGAAACTGAAGGAAATGCAAAAAGTGTTGCAACATCCTCACTCTCTGCTACTGTTTTTTTTTTTTCAAACTAAAAGTTTAAAACATGGTGCATGATATGCATTATAAAACATATGCTATTGTTACAATCTTAGCATCACTTTAAAAATATGTTAAAATAGCAATACAAGCACATGAACTACCACCCAGGATACCACAGCAACGTTGTCCTTGACAACTTTGAGCTTTTAAAAATACTTAAACATTTTTACTTTCTGTTTTAAAGCTTCCCATCCGTCTATCTGCATTTGCACATCTGTCTGTATATCTATGTTTGTCTACTTTTCAGTACATCTGTTTGCCTATGTCTGTCTGTCCAACAAATGTGTGTCACTGCTTCTTCTGTTAGCCAATTATTTGTTTCCTCAGGATCTTCAGACCCTTTCAAAAGGTCATTAACCTCTCCTATGGAGCTGGGCGTTTGATGTGAATATTACTATGTATAAGATTTAATTCCTATAAATTATTCTGTCTGGTCTTGGGTCAGCTCTTAAGAGCTTGGCTGTCTGAACATTGGCTCCTGTCTCCACACCATCTTAGAAGAAGATATGACACCACAGAGAGCCATATACATCTTCAATGACACAATGGTGCGTAAACAATTAGAGAAGTTAAATTTTTGGATGAAGTGTTAATCAAAGTTATTTACCTGTTGTGGGTGTTTGGAGTAGTTCTCTTCTAGCTTTGGTGTGGGAGCCATCGTTTCCTGCCAAATGTCAACAATTTAACTGAAATGAACACAGCCTTTAACACAGAACATAATGTTACATATGTTTCTATCATAAATTTTTAAAAAATTATTTAAAAAATTATAAATTATAACACAATAAAAAGGCCAATGTTGTGTGTGTGTGTGTGTGTATGTGATGCATTTAGTGACATACTGTATGTTAGAGTTTAATGGTTGTTGATTTGAGATTGTAAGTAGGGTGGCCTACAACTTAGTGTTCAGTGTGAGTGTTGAAGCTGGCTTCTGCTGATGAATCTTCATTTTCAGCTCACATACTGGTCATTTTTGGCTTAAAATTGTTTGCTCCCCAGCACCCTCCACCTCAATGCCTAGTTTATTAATGCTGCCTGTATATATCACTTTCATTACATTAAAAAATAACCACCAGGGCAGTTTTCCTAGCATGTGACGTCTCCCCATGATCGCTGTCTGTGGTAGTCTTCTTTCTTTGAAAGAGACTTCTTTACTAAGCTTAAATCCAATTCAGAGAGAACGAGAAAGAACAGCTACTTACAGGATTGTTTTGGAAAGAGCTCAGGAGGTTTGTCTCCTTCAGTTTTTTGTTTGGTGGTCCTTTAGACATGGTTTTGATAGTTACCTGTAAAGAGGACAAAGGATAGACTGCTCAACAGAGAATAATTTGTGGCTTATTTTTTAAGATGTGTGATCTCATCAGTTTTATGTTTAAACTGCAGTCCAATTTTAGTAACCTGAGTTTTATCAGGTCCATCAGTCATTGTGTGCTTTTTGCCTGTATGAACTGTACTTCTTGCTTTTATAAATGTGTGTCCATCCACTTTACAAAGTGCCTGTCTTACAGTCGAGAAGATTGAAAGCTAAAGTGCAGTGTTACTGTTAGCCTTTTTACAATAATGATGCAACAATGCAAAGTAAACCACAGGCAAATGGTCAGTTCACATAAACAGGGTAAAAACATACTGAGTGCAGTTCAGAGCTAAAACATATATTGTGATTTTTGCATGGTTGCAAGTTTTTGTCCGAGGTGACTGCTGAACACAGATAAGCATATCTGCAAAGTTTAAAAACATGGTCTAGATTATAGAGCACACAAATGTTTTATTAGCAATGTGCTAAAACATACAACATGTTAGGCTAGCAATGTTCTAAAATATGCTAGGAACCAGTTAAATGCACAAAAACTTATAAACTAATGCTAACACAACATCAAATGTTAGTAACATGGTAACAGCATGCTAAAACATTACCGAAAGGCAGGGCCAGACAGAATCTCCGGACATTTTTTGCTATTTCTGCGGAGAATTTTGGTAAAAATCTGCAGTTCTCTTTCAAACATTCGCTCGGTATCTCACTATGGGAAACGCCTCAGGCGTGACAGACTGTGGAAGCACTGATTACACCCAATGACTGTAAAAAATATGGACGACGCGACAGCCCTTTTTCCCATTGAACGCCTTGAGGGCAAAACGCCTGCTTGACGGGCACAAACTGTCGCAAAAGACTGCTGAAATTGGAGCCAGACATGCGCAGAAGGATTGTCTGATGGAGCCAGAGGAGGAGCCGCGAAAATGAGCAGAGTCGAGCTTCCAATCAAACGCTTTATGTAAAATCAACTACGCCCCCCGAACTTCTCAGCATGCGTTTGCTGTCATATCAACACAAATGGATGTAATAGCGTTAACAAATATGAGGGTTTTATATATTCAATCGCGCCAGCTCCAGGCCGCAGCGCATAACTTACTCGCGGCGTCGCGGGCTGATTCCGGCTCGCATGCGGCAGCGCCTGCTCGCTCGGCCGCCGCATCTGACTCGATTGACTCGGGCTGGAATTGGGTAGTGAGTCCAGGCATCCGGAGTAGGTCCAGCAGAGGTAGTCAGTCTGAGCTCTAAGAGATAAGTCTCCGGCAGGCGAGAATCTAGCCGGAACTGTGTTTTGCTATCTGGGTGGCTAGGCGTGTATCAGCAAACTAATAAAGCCCGAAAAAAGCCCTGAACTTAGCAAATAAACAGTGTTCCACCAGGATCATGTATGTCAGAAACTATAGTTTACTGCTGAACTCATTTTGTCATGGTAAAATAACACAGAAATCGAATAATAACATTTCAGTCTACTTCAGTCTCCTGCCGAAGCTCAGACGCCGCGGTTTGAGAAACTGTCAATCACAGCTGTCAATCACGATGACACGCCCAGCATTAAATTACTGCTAAAAACAAACTGTTTACAAAAATGAAGATCTGCACCTATTTCAGCACAATAACCAGTGCCTTAATCGACCAGAACTATCTTTCGGGACATTTTATTGCAAGTGTAATATTTTTTTTTATTTGGGCTCAAGTCTCCTTCATTAACACGGAGGAGGCGGGCTTTATGACTTGTACTGCAGCCAGCCCCCAGGGGGCGATCTAACGGCCGAAACCTTTACTCAAACGTAGGCTTGCGGCACACTTGATTACACCACGTCCGTCTGAGGACGGACAAATCACAGCTCGCAATTAGGAGCCCACCCTCTCCTTTATAATCCGCTGTGATTCCCCGAATCGGCATTTCTAGCACTCTTCCTCGTGAAGACTTTCCTTAAGCACCCAGGCTGCGCTGCTCTGTTCACAAACGTACCGTCAAGGCTAACGTTGCCGAACGCAGCTCAGTCATCTGATTCTGTCGTGGGTTCTTTGCTCGTTACGGAGTATTTTTTTACTGCTTTTACTAGCAGCAACTGATATAGCTAACGCGTTAAGGCGAGCTAACTGTGATTTTTGACTCACCATGTCTAAAGTCACGGTGGAGAAGGAGACCTCTTCGCGCTCCTGTTCCTCAGCGTGCGGATTTATGATCTCGGGCCGGGATTCACATCCGATGTGCATCACATGTATGGGTGTGAAGCATGCCCAGGCCTCGTTGGCAAACACCGAAAGCTGCGTGCACTGCCAGGCAATGCCGATGAAGATTTTGGAGAGAAGGCTTCGAGTGGCGGCATCTTCCAAGGACGATCCGGTTCTCTCTGCCGCTCTGTCGTCAGCTAATGACACCAAATCCTCTCTTCCGCGGGATCTTGCTTCGTGGGGGGACATCATGGAGGTGAAATCCCCCGAGTATGAGCCGCTGTTCGACCAGCAGCTACTGGCGGGTGGGGATGAGATGGAAGGGGATGAGGAGGAGTAGGATGATGAGACACTAGCCCGTCTCCTCCGAGATGAGCCGGACGATGATGAGGAGGATGTCATCCGCCCTTCTTCCCACGCATCCAGGCCGACTAGTGCGCAAAGCGGTGAGGTGGCGTCGACTGTGGTGGATTGCGACCTCACAGAGGTTTGCAAACGTGCTGCCGCCAAGCTCGGTGTGGCATGGCCTGTGACTCCTGGTCATCCAGGAGTTAAACGGGATGTGTATGACTGGAAAAGGCTCGCTCCCCGCGCTCCCCCAGCTAAACAACTACTTTCCGCTCTCCCAGATTGCATCACGGAGATGAAGCGGTCATGGGATAAACCATTTACCAACCGCGTGCCCGTCAAGGGTTACTCGTCGCTCGACGTGAGCGAGATGGAGGGGCTAGGGCTCTTTAACCCTCCAGTGGTCGAGCAGACGGTGGCTCTTCACCTGCATCCAAACAGGCGGGCTGCTTTTTCATCGGCCACACCGTCCCTCCCTGGTAAAATGGAATGCTTCACTGCTTCCATGTATCAGAAGATATATAAATCTTCGGCGCTAACAGTGAGGGCTTTGAACGTCACTACATTGCTGACAGCCTATCAAGCCGAATTATTGGAGGAGCTTGGCACGCAGCTGGACGCCGGCAATCCAAACACGGCAGTCTGGGAAGAGATCTGCAACATTACAGACCTCAATCTGCGCGCCTCACGCGGGGCGGTGCAAAGCTCCGGCCGTACCATGGCTCTCGCCGTTGCGGGCGAGCGATCGCTGTGGCTGAATCTCTCGAGTATCGGAGACTGGGAAAAATTGGATTATCTCAACACTCCCGTATACTCGAGTGGGTTATTCGGTCAGTCGAGATGCGACCTTAAAAAGAAGGACGAGGAGACTTTTGACCTCTGCTTGCCTCGTAAAAGGACATCATGTCCTCCTGTTCCTGCTACTCGGCCCACTCCTCTGACGCAGGGCAGAAAATTTGTCAGTGCGTCCAGACCGCCTAAACCCCACAGCACAGAGCAAACGGCCCGCCCCCCCGCTGCTCCAAACGCTAAGCCATGGGGAAAGCAGTCATTCGCGGCAGCGGCTGCAAAGTCCAGATCCGCTAACCTATTCGGCAAAAAGAAGAGGGACTCCTAGGACGCTATGTTTGGAGAGAAGAGACGGGCAGCACCTAGGGTTTTCTGCGATGTCTTCTCCACAGTCCGCCGCGTTTGTTTCCCCACCCGCAAAAATGCAGAGGAGGTGGAATTTGGGAGGAGAAATGGTTCAGAGTTGTGTTCAGGCCAGTTCTGCTTCCCCTCAACACACAATGTTCCGTGGATTGCCGATGGCAGATCCACAAGTTCATGTGTAGAGCATTCGGCCACCATGCGGTCTGCCGAGTTCAGGCACACGTTCGCAAGAGCGTTGTCACAAAGCACTTCATTCCCTGTGTTCATGGCAAATAAAAAATCCCCTGTCGCATCCAGGCTCAATGCCGAGGGCGCAGAAAGCCAAAAAAAAAAAATAAAAACACAGAGAAAAGCGAAAGCTCAAAGCCGAGAGACGGGCCAGTCTCTGAGCCAAACAGATCCTGGCCAAATTTCTCTCTGGCCACAAGAGGGCGCCAGCGCTCCACCAGTGGAGCCGGTTTAGCAGCAGCCTCTGTCTCTTCACCCGGAGGCCTGGATAGAGTGTTATCCGCACCCGTGGGTCCTCGCAACTGTAACCAGGGGTTACAGGCTTCAGTTTGCTGGAAAAGCCCCTCCTTTCAACGGGGTTATAGCATCTGTGGCAAACGAGGATTTGGCTCAGGTGCTGGAGGCAGAGATATCCTCCCTCATGGAGAAGGGAGCTATAAGACGAGTTCCAGTGGAGGAAACTCAGACGGGTTTTTACTCACGATAATTTCTAATCCCAAAGAAAGATGGGAGTCTGCGCCCAATACTGGACCTGCGTGCTTTAAACAAGCACTTAAGGAAGTACAAATTCAAGATGCTCACAGTAGGGGCTCTCACTCGTTCGATCCGCCGGGGCGATTGGTTCGCCTCGATCGATCTCAAGGATGCTTACTTTCATATAAGCATCTATCAGCACACAGGAAATATCTCAGGTTTTCCTTTCAGAACGAAGTGTTCGAATTTGTTACTCTTCCATTCGGGCTCCGTCTAGCTCCGCGGGTGTTCAGCAGATGCATGGAAGCCCTCGGTCCGTTATTATATTGTCATTCCTCTTTCTTTGTGTATTCCTGTTCCTGGCCAGTGAGTGCTTTTGTAAATAAATTTTGATAATTCCTGTGACCCATGCTTTTGTGAGAGAGCTAACTGTGACAGTAACAAAGTGTTACCCGTGACTTCAGTTTGCCATTATACCCCTACTTTTTTTGAGTTACGGTGTAAAGCAGCATTTATGCTCTCAATTACACACTTCAAATCCTTTTAACTCTGCGCAAATTGTTGATGTATTTTTCAACCCAAATTATTTCTCTATAGCGCATTTTTGTACTAACATATTGCATATTGAAATACGCCTTTTGTTTCATAACCTAGCAAATATCACAACAAATAACCTGATTAGTGATCCCAGCATGTGAAGACTCCTCATTTTCACTGTCTGTGTTAATCTCCTTTTTCTGAAAGACAGAACATTATCAATGACACGGAGTTTAGGTTCAATCCAAACCGAGAGAACAAGAAAAACAGCTACTTACAGGACTCAGAAGGTCTGTCTGCTTCAGGTTTTTGTTGCGTGGCTCTTCAGACATGTTTTGATCACTACCTGTAAAGAGGAAAAATAATAGTTAGCCCAACAGAGGATGGTTTGTCTGTGTTTTTTTTTATCTCATCAGTGTTATGTTTAAAATGAGTACAAATTTAGTGGTTTGATATCAGTTGATTGTTACTGAAGTTTTTTTCTAAGGAAAAATATGTTAAAATATGCAATTAACTATATTCTATCCCAGCAGCAAATTTTAGTAAGATGTTAGCATTATGCTAAAACACATTAGCAACAGGCCTGCTAGCACAATACTGTCAGTCTGTCCATTCATCCAGCTCCCTGCCTAGTCAATTCTAGTTCAGTAGCACTGCCTGTATATACAATATATCACTCTCAGTTCTGTTGCTCCCTAGATATGCTATTATTTTTGGTGAAGGAATGATGTTAGATGGATGTACTTAGCATGTTACCATTTACTGAATTTGTTAGTTACGTATCTACTAATATAAAGTTGAGATCACATGGTAATTTGTAATATCGGTAACACTATAGTCTAGGTCATAATTCATGCCATTAACTACTGGCCTATTACCTGCCCGTTTTTAAGATATTAACTGTTCATTAGTAGTTATGAAGTATGATCTTATGCTGCATCTCTAATCCTATCCAAAACCCATACCCTACTTCTACCTTACTAAATATTAATAAACTGATCATTAGTAGTTTATTAATTTAGTTGTGTTAGTTAATAGTTTGTTAATACCTTGACATAAACTTAAGTGTTGTCACTATGGGCCCTATCATACACCCGGCGCAATTATTATTTGCTACTTTCAGCTTGGCGCAAGGGTCATTTTGAGGTGTTGCACCACGCTTGCTGCCAGGCACAAACTGTACTCCGTAGCTACCTGGTTCTAACTTTAATTATTTAAAAACATAAAGCGTATTAGTTCAGTCTAATCGTGAGGAGGCTAGAAAGTGTCGCTCTCTTTGTTTCATTTCAGTCTGTCCACACCCTTTAGGAAATAGAAAGCGGGTACTTCTGATGCCACATCATAACCATTGTTGAGTCATTTGAATTTTACCCTGTGGGCGCCACTTCCTACAAAGATTTATTTTGTGTTTGAAGTGGTAACTGTTTTGTGTTTATGTCATCAAAAATGATAGTGGTTGTACGCTTCTTTAATTTAAAGGGATTATGTGAATTTGTAATGTTGATTTTATTTTAAAAATGTATACGCCCAAAGGATCTATTTGTCTATCATTAACAGATATTAAAGTTTTTATCCAGTTCATTGTACTCTCTGTATACAGTATATTGGTCTCGGTTTAGATTACTGATTATTTTGAATCATGGATTATGTTCGATCAATAATCCCACAAGTTTGATCTCTGTTTACTTTTCACTCTGCTCTTAAATTTGATCATACTATTAGATATTATTGAACTTATCTGGTCATCACACATTTTTTTGTAATTTCCACATTTTATGAAATGGTGTATTCAATATTTTCAATCATGTTCTGCAAAATATACTTTATAGTTATTTATATGAGAAGTTAGTTTACAAGGTTTAACAATATATAAAATGGCATGCAGAAAACGTTAAGATAAAGTTGTATGATGTAAAGCATGATTAATATTCTGAAACAGGAAATGCTTTTAAAATTCTCAGATATTTTGTAATAGAAAATGTCTTTAAAATATTAGCTATTACAGTAAAAGTTAAAAGTGTATTATAATGTATTTTTTTAAATTGACATCGCTTGTGATTTGTTTAATTGTAACTTTAAACAAACCTCAGTGGATAAAATACAATTCTAAGGAAACACTTGACTGAATATTTAAAGTATTTGGCGAACAAGTCAAAAAAATTTGGCCATATGTAGTCTGTAAAGATTTACCCACGGCAATCTGAAATAAAAAATCCTTCTCGCTATAAAGAAACAAGGAAACTTTACCTGTTTGTCCGAGAAAATATGAGTTTCTGGGCGCCTTCTTTAATGTATCTGCTTTCTATTTTTTTCCCCACACAGAAGTCCACCGGCCGGCAGGCACAAACTACTCCGTAGCTACCTGGTACTAACTAAATAATTAAAAAACATAAAGTGTATTTGTTCAATCTAATCTTGAGGAGGATGGAAAGTGTCGCTCTCTTTGTTTCATCTCAGTCTGTAGACTGGAGACGACTGATGCCACATTATAACCGTTGCTGAGTCATTTGAATTTTACTTTGTGGGCGCTACTTCCTATAAAAAAGATATATTTTGTGTTTGAAGTGATAACTTTTTTGGGCTTAGGTCATCAAAAATGATAGTGTTTATAGGCCTCTTTAATTCAAAGGGATTATGTGAATTTTTTAATCTTGATTTCATTTTAAAAATGTATACGCCCAAAAGGATGTGCTTAGTTGGGTTTAGGGGCTATTGTAGATTTTCTTTATCTACAATAGAGGGTGCCTGTCCACATGCTTTAGTGGAGTTGAAGGAATGCTTTATATTCAAATATATATTATAATAATGATAATAAAAAATACAGCTAATGTTATAATCATCAAAAGCCAAAGGAAATAACACATATTTTGCATGCTTGCAAGTTTTGTCTAAAAAATGCCCTAGAGAACAGCCACACAGGATACAACAGCAAAGCAAAAGCCAACTCTGATCTTGCAGCAACACGCAACATCCTATATCAACCACAAAGCAATCTCTGTAAGCCTTAAAATCTTTGAACTAAGAGCTTTTTAAACTACTTGAACTCTTTCAAACTTACAATCCTCTGTTTTAAAGCGTGTTACTCTATTTGTCTATCATTAACTGATATTAAAGTTTTTATCCAGTTCATTGGACTCTCTGTATACAGTAAATTGGTCTCGATTTTGCTCTCTTGCTTAAAGTTTGATGTATGTTTACCTTTCACTCTCTTTTAAATTTGATAATGTTATTAGATTATAGAACTTATCTGGTCATCACTCATTTTTTGTAATTTCTACATTTTTAATAATGTTGGGCAAAATAGTTTTTAGTTATGAGAAGTTAGTTCAAAAATATATTAAATGACATACAGAAAACATTTAGGAAAAGTGTAAAAATATTAATCTGTAAAATCTATGGTTAAAAAACAGCAGCTGTTGTTCCCAGTATTTACAATAGTATTTAACAGTATCCCACTGTTAAAATTTCAGTACAAACCATAAAAGTAAATTCTCATTTTTACAGTAAACTACCATAATTCATTAATTTATAGAGGTAATATGTTTTTATTGTGAATTACTAACATCTACACAGATATACCCGTTAACACACAGTCATATGCAGGCGGTAATAAGAAAGTAACACGCCTAAACGCCAGTATGGTAACATGCATGCAATTGAAATAAACATTGTTTATCAACATTGGATGTACAGTTGAAGTCATAATTATTAGCCCCCATTTATTTTTCCCCAATTGCTGTTTAACAGAGAGCAGATTTTTTTTCAACACATTTCTAAACATAATAAAGGTTATATTACTAATAATAATTTGGTTGCCGTCATTAGCAAAAGGCTGGCACAGAAACGCCATTGGAAATACTGGGGTGAAATTAATTTCCATATTTTCAAAAGTTGGCGCAGAAAAATGAATTCAGCACTTCTTGTTTGGTTTGATAAACACTTTATATTGTATTTCATCCAAGCAGTAAAGATCACTGTTTTTTTTTAGTTTTTAGTTTTTTGTTTTTTTAAAGAATTCAGATCTTAAACAGTGATTATGTTTGGGATGACAATTAACCGGAAGCCCTGGTTCTGGCTGACTGAAATTGAAAGTCTGGGCATATATTTAATATAACAAATACTGCTTTAATTTTCATTATTTCAGTGTCCATATACTTTGACCTATGATTTGTTTTCACCTTGCTGTTCAGACTGAATGATTTCTTTTGTACATTTATACAATAAACATGAATGAAAGAAAGCATGAGGAGTTTTCTTGTGTTATTTAATTCCTTAGAACAGGAAGTTCTGGACTGGTTAAATTTTATGTAGGACTTTTATTTTTACACTGGCTGTTTTCATCTATGAAAGTCAGCAGCATAAGACTATCTAAGGCATCATCTAGGGTCAAAGAAAAATCACGGACACTTAGTGGATGTTGATGAACAAGATGAAGTGAGTTCAAATTTTCTATATTTAAAATGATAAACACCAAGAAAGAAATTGATAATTAAACATTGCATTTCAGATATAAAAAAACATATTAAACAAATATGTGGGGTCAATGCCTAATATGAACCCTGAGATATAGCAGTAATGTTGAACAATTATACCACTTGGTAGGCCATGTCATAATTTGTGTTTTATGAATAATAACCCAACTGTGTCTTGTTTTTTAGTCTCCACCATCGTAGTGCCCTACAGCTTTGCCTGCAGACTAAGCAGACCATAGTGCTGAGTGGATGGGAGTGAAGATGCCAAACTTTACTTAAAACTATTATTGGAGGTTAAATTGATTTTAAACTTAATAAAACCTGTCTCATTGGTTAAACTCTAGAATGTGGTCTCAGTGGCTCACATGGTTCTTGAGTGCATGATTCCCTAACATCAGAGATACCAAGTTCTGAAGGAGAACTGAGAAGGAGGTGGCAGTGGACAAGAGCAGTAACTGGTCTCCATGAGACATTATTCCAAAGACGGGTAAGACTCTCGTTGGCCACCAGGAGCAACCTAAGCCAGGAATTTTTGTCGCGGAGACTAGGCACCTGTACAGGTAGGCAGGTGTTGAGTGAGATGGTTGTGCAGTGGAGCAGTGATGCTTAAAAGGCCTAGAGCATCCGAATATTGAGGGGCACTGTGAAAGATCAGTGGTCTGCCTCAGAAATGTGGGCTCCTCCAAACCAGACCACAGCAAACTGCTAATTATGTCTGGAGATCAGACACTCAGAAAAAGGAACTTGTGGTTAAAGAAAGAGGCAGGGTGCTGTCAAGAACCATTTAAGACCATATGATGCTGGTAATATGAAGGAGACAGAATTTATTAAGGTTTTGTTATTAAAATAATAACTAAGAAAAAGACTTAAGGGA